TTTGTATCTCTATTTCAGAAAAATACCCGTTTCAACAGATTTCCAGAAGACTTGTTTTTAATTTTGTTTTTGTTTTCTACATCAATGCATCAAGTCAGATGTTAAGCTAACATGAAAATGTCTTTCCTGCTACACTGCGTATCTGAGATTCAGACTTGTTTATAAGAGACTGGTTAAGTGGGGCTTGCTAGCACTAAAGCACAGAAGCTGTATTAGATTGTGTGTTTCGGTAAGTTACCAGAGACCAAAATAAGGCAGATGGACTCAGCTTGCTAAGGAAAGGTATGCGATTGTATTCACCAGGCCTTCTCTCTGTGCTCCGCCTTCCCGCCAAGGCTCCAAGGCTCACAGGGCAGTCATTACTCCTGCTCCTCCTTGATCTTTCTGCAGTTTTGTAATCTCAACTCTTTTCCCCTCACCTCTCTTCAAGCTTCTTCAGGCACACGTACACAAAAACTCAGACCCACACAAACACACCGAGTGAAATCACATTTTCTACTATATCCACGAGAATAATAACTAGTATTTTAAATCATGGCCATGTACTTCTTAAGGGAGCACTTTTGGACTGGTGGTAAGAATTTGCACGACCTGTACAAAGGGAAGCAGTTCCAATCCACCAGCTACTCTACAGGAGAAAGATGGACAGTCTCCTCTGCAGACCTCACTTTCTATCAGGTCAGACTGCAGGGAAAGGTGTTGCAAATGCTAAGTTAAAGGTAGGTGGTTTGAACCTCCCCCCACCCCTGAACTACCACCGTGGAAGAAAAGGCCTGGTGATATGCAGCTGGTAAAGCTGCAGCCAGGGGACCATATGGCTGTGATTCTACTCTCTAACATACGGTTTCCATGACTTGGAATCAACATAAGGCTGCTAATGACAAATTACAGGAAATCAGGGCCTTTAAATATGTCAACGTTAATATTTCAAGAGAGGAATCTATTCATTCCAAAGTTCTCACTGCAAGTCCTGCGACACATAAATTCCATTAAGTAAAAATGAGGGATATTTTCCAGGAGGAGGCCTTTTAATTTCTTTTCATGCGGATACAGATGTGTATCTTCTGGCTTGGGTAAGACATAATTTGTTAGTATTATTTTTTAACTTTATAGCTGGTGTCAGTCTGAGTGGGTGGGTGTTTTAGAACATTGATGGAAACCAAGGGGTGTTTTTTTATTATGTGCCATCCAATCACCTAAGACTCCCAGTGACCCAGTGTACAACAGCTGTGAAGCCTGCCCTGAGCCAGCATCACTGACTCCGACACTCCTACCCCCATAATCCCACTTATTGTGTCAGTCCATCTCATCTGGGGTCTTCCTGTCCTGTGCTGTCCCTCCGCCCTTTCAAGCATGATGTCCTTCTCCAAGGACTAGTCCCTTCTGGCCATGTGTCCAGTGTGTATGAAATGGAGCTTCAAAATCCTAGCCTCCAAGAAGAAACTTGGTTTCACCTTCTCCAAGATAGACCTGTTTGTTCTCTTGGCTGTTCAGTACTCTTCTCCAGAACACACTTGACAAAGTCATTGATTATTCTGTCATCCTTATTCATTGTCTAGCTCTCTGATACATAGCAAGTAATTGCTAAGACCATGGTCTGGATCAGACACAGCTTAGTCTCTAGACCAACATCGGTGTTCCTCAATACTCTGGAGGGGTCCCTGACAGCTGACTTTCCCAGTGGAATTCATCTTTTGATTTCCTGGCTTCTGGTACCAAGACTGTTAATTGTGGAACCAAGCAAACAGAAGCTGTTAACAATCTCAATCTTTTCATCATCTATCATGATGTTTCCAATTGTCCCAGTGGCGAGAAGCTTTGTTTTCTTGATGTTGAGCTTTAATCTATATTGAAGACTGCAGTCCTTCTTAACCTTCTGCTGCAAATGCTTCAGGCCCTTCTCAGTTTCAGCTAGCAAGATTGTGTCATCTACATAGTGCAGGTTGTTGATAAGTCTTCCTCCACTCCTGATTCCACATTTCTCCTCATAGAGCCCAGTCTCCCAGATGATATGTTAGGCATATAGATTGAAAAGGTATGGAGATAGGACACATCCCTGGTGTACACCCTTCCCTATTTTGAACCATGCAGTGTTTTTTTGCATTTTTCTGATGGCTTCTTCCTGGTCCAAGTATAGGTTTCATATAAGCACAGCCAAGTGTTCTGGGATTCCTAGTCTTCTCAGAGTCAGCAACAGTTTGTTTTGATCAACACAGTCAAATACTTCCTGACACACAAGAGCCCAACCTTCTCCTGTGGAGCAGCTGAAGAACTCGAACTGCAAGCCTTTGGGATAGCAATTCAGCTTCTTACCACTAGGCCAAGCATTGTCTTGGGCACAATGAAAGTAAAATGCACCGTTCTTTCTAAAGAGAAGCTCAAAGGGTGAGCAATGTCCATGTCGGGCCTTGTTCTGGTGGAGATGCTGCCGTGATTTTGGAGAACCCTAGAGCTGTGAGGGCGTGAAGACAGAGCTGCTTTCCCCTACACACACAGGCAGGCCCCACGGAGGGTCTAGTTTTATCTTCCTCTTTTTCTTCCCTGAATTTTGTCATTTTTCTCTCTGGAACATGAAATAATTTCATTGAAAGAATTCCAATAAGTGATGACAAAACTAGTAACAAACAAAGGTGATGGGTTGTTGTTGTTGTTGTTGTTGTTGATTGCCTTAGAATCAGTCAGGACTCGTAGCGACCCTATGAACAAAACGCCTGAAGCCTCTCTACAGCTGCCAACATTTATCCAAGTTCATGGAGTTTGCAGAGGCATGTTGTTTAGGAAGTGGATGCCACTCCTGCTTCCAAAGGTTATGGGTAAACGACACGAATGGAATGCACTGAAAGGTATATGTTGAGACTGTTGAAATGGCCTATATTCTGTTTACAAAACTAGTTTTAAAAATAACTTCTAAAAAAACTTACTTAAAAAGTAAGTTTAAAAAAGCAATCTATGGTTTTATTTTGATGGTAACATGTTGTTTGGGGTTTTTTTTTAATTTTTTTAATAAATTTTTTTAAATTTTATTGTTTTTTGTGTGTGTACCATCAAATTGGATCTGACTGGTACAGGAGGAGATTGCCCCTCCTTCTCCAGCAGAGCATCTGGTGGATTCGAACCATGTTCTCTGGGATTGCAGTGCAGCTTCTTGCCACTAGGCCACCAGAGTTCCCTATGTTGTTTGTTTTTATGTGTCGTTGAAGTGACTACTCTGAGCAGTGGCTCTGAATCTTGCCCTTGCCTGAGCCAGCCTTACCATCTCTGACCACCTGACCCCTTTGCCGCAGTCACTGTGTCAAACCATCTCATTCAGCGTCTTCCTCTCCTGTGCTGACCTTTTATCCTTCCAAGTAAGATGTCCTTCTCCAAGGAGTGACCGCTCCTGACAACATGTTCAAAGTACATAAGATAGAATTTCAAAATCCTTACTTCCAAGGGACTACTGGTTTCACCCTCTCCAGGACAAACTGATTTGTTCTCTTTTCAGCCCATGGTATGTTCAGTACTACTCTAGCACAATATTTCTAAGGTATCAATTCTTCTTCTGTGATCCTTAGTCAATGCCCGGCTCTCCTCCGTGTAACAAGTGATTTAGAAGATCCTGTCTTGGATCGGGTGCATTTTAGTCTTTAGACTGACATCATTGCTCTTCAGCACTCTGAAGAATTCCTTCACAGCAGATTTCACCCCATGCAGTTCATGAATAACTAATTCTTCAGGTACTGCAGTTTCTACATTACATATGGTGCATTTTGCCATGTGTAAATTGTGCTTCCATTTGAAGAAAATGCATTAAAAGTTACAGGACTTCTCACTTTAAAAGAAATTTAACTCTCATTCTATAACTAATATCCAAGACAACAATAAGTACACTCTAAAAGCAAAAAGGCTAAAGAAAGTCTTATATTTTGTTGTTTGTTTGGATAGATGACAATATATACATTTCCATTCATGATTTCTGCTTTTGTAGTTCAAGTTCAATGACATTGTCTATATGCTTTATGGTGAGTCTCTGTTATGTCTCTGATCTGTCATTATCCTGTCCAACTCATCTAGTCATATGAAAACCAGTGTGAATGAGGGAACATGTGAATATGATGTATATGAATAAAGCAAAAAGAAAAGAATTCTGTATGTAAACCATATAAAATAAAAATAAATTTTAAAAAATAATAATGTTTAAAAAAATCTTTGGGTAAATTGATTAGAGATTCACCAAACCAAGAAAATGACCCTAAACCAAGAAAAACAATCTCACATAGTGTTTAGTTATATCTGTCACAGGTGAAAGACGGGCTGTCTCGTCCCATGCGAGTCTCTGCCTCTGGAAACCTATTGCATGGTCACCTGTGGGTCAGTTCCGGCCCTATGGTACACAACAACAACTACAAGTAGTATCAGCTAGATTTGATACTGTGGATTTGGTTGGGATTTTGACTGTTGTATAACTGTGTACAAAACTTTCTCCTTTTCATTTTTTTAGAATTTGCTTAGTGATAACAGCTACATTAGTTAAATTATATAACCTTCACCCTTAGTCAGTGCCAATTTTCCTATTACTGTAGACAGAAATTGAGTATAAAAATCAGAGAATGAAATCCTCTCTCCTCTCCCCTGCTGCCTTTGGTAGCCTTTGGTTGTCAGTTTTTATCAACTCTTGTCATTTTGTGTTAGTGAAAACATTCATTATTTTCCCTTTTGAAATGGATTTCTTTTGTTTAGACTAACATCTTTGCAGTTCACCCATGATACTGCATCAGGTCTTCATTTTTCTTTAAGGCTGGGTATAATTCCACCCTGGATGTGTACCACATGTTGTCAGTCAGTCCATTCATCTGTTGATGGGTATTTGAACTGTTCCTCTTTTTCTACTGCTGTGAATAATTCTGCAATGAACAAAGGTTGTACATAAGGCTATTTTATGTCATTGATTTTAGATCTCGGAGTTTGTTATTTCTTCTCATACAGTGATTCATTATTTGCTTTTCTGTGCTCTCTTTCAGCTGTAGGTCCAGATTTTTCAAGAACCTTCTTGAAAAGAGTAACACTTGTCAAAGTGGGAGGTGAAGTTGTCATTGAGTGTAAACCGAAAGCTTCTCCCAAGCCCGTCTATGCCTGGAAGAAGGGAAAAGGCACAGTAAGAGAAAACGAAAGGTAATAACAGTGCAACACTTGGAGTATTCTGACTGCTAACAATTTATTGGTCTTTTGTGCTTGATTCTAGAGGGAGAACTTTACTATTTTCTGTTCACAGACTAAATGCCCAGTGGGAGGGAATGCTAATCAGAGAAAGGAAGCTTTGGAGGAGGGATGGGAAAGGAGTTGGTCTTTCTACTCCTCACTGTTAGGACCTTCCCTGCAGAGATGACTACAGGTCCCTGGCAAAGACAAATAGAGGTGCCCAAAGGTGGACAGCTAAAAGCTTTCTTAATTTGGGTTTAACGTCTGCTTATAAATGTTCTACTCTTTGCCTTGCTGTCTTTTCATTGCGTTGCACAAGGAAATCCGTTTTCCTTTACTGTGACAACCCCTCAAGTATTTGGGAATAGCTGCTATGACCCCTGTTCATCTCTCTTTTTTAAGACAAAATATCTAAATCCAGAAGTCATTCTGCATGTAGCATGGTTCTGATGATTTTGATTACATCTATTGGACATAACACTTTCTCCTTTTCGCGTCGAAGTGCTTCACCGGTGTGTTTCCTGTTTTGAGTGAGTTCTCGCCGGGAGCCATGTTGACTGTATAATGTAGATATATATGAGTTCGTTTGGATTTTCTGTCAGATTGCACCGCGTGGCAGATATTATGAACCACTTTCCTCTTCTTTATTCATGTAAGATATTCTCTGCCTCTTTCTATAATCTACTCAATCTGTCAGAAAATGGTTCTGACACGTGAGTCTCAACTTGTCACGCACAAGACGTTTACCAGCCGGGTGTGTAATGATTCTTAATTGATGCGAAAGGGCAAGTACTCAAGGATTCAGTAAGGAAACGTGCGTGTCTACCCTTTACACCTGTGCGCGTTTAGATTTACATATGCAAATTAAACCACTGCCCTAATGATGTTGGACTCGTTAATGATTTTTGCCAACAAACCTGATATAGTTTATACATGGTGTATTCATACACATACTAAACTCGCAGTATATGTCCTTCCCAATTTCTGAAACTTCCTGAAAGCAATAGATAGTTCAGGGGACACTGGTGTGGCATCTAATGTGGCACCAAGCCTGGTGCCTGAGACACGATTTCTTCCTACACAGCCTTAAACCTCAGGTTCTTTTTCTGTAATAGCTAGTGTTTCCCAGATTATGGTAAGTTGAATTGCATTTGTTTGTTTGTATATCTTCTATAGACATGTGTAGATTGTTTATATTCATCTGTGGTTTCACAATCATATACAGTATCTTTGAGGAACTATCATTGAAGAGTAGCTAGTTAATGCCACGTGTATTGATGAAGTCTATGTTTTAAAAGCTCTGGTGGCCTCGTTGGTAGGGAGTTTTGCTGCTAACCCAGAAGTAGCCTTTCTTTGGCAATTTGAATCCTCCAGTGTCAACACAGAAAGTTGAGCCTCTTCTCGTGGGATTTACAGCCTCTGAAAACCCACTGGGTGTCAGCTGTGAGGCAGCAATGTGGAGGGAGACTGTTGAAAAGATTTCCATTTAAAGATTTTATAAAGAAAAAATATTATGTAAATAATTATACAGGTAATAGATATGCAGCATTATGATTAAAGATAGCATTCCATCAGTCAGGGAAGGCTAAGCTCTCTCCCAGAGCAGACAGACCACACACGTCAGTGGCTTGAAGCTGGAAAGGCTCTCTCGTTCCCATTGCACACCGCCCCCCCCAGGATCTCCTGGTGCCTGAAGTTCACACTGTGGTTTCTTTGGCTAGAGTGCAGGTTGAGGGCAGCACTCTCTGAAACACTGAAATCTTAGACGCATAAGCAGTTTGCCCAGCACACGTTGACTCTTCAAACGTCTACGCACTGGGAGTAACTTCACCTTCATTCACGTGTCATTGGATAAAACAAGTCACAAGGTCATGCCCAAGTACAACACACCAGGGAAATGTAGTCTTCCCATCTTTCAAGAAAGGCATTCTGGTGATTTAGTCAGGAGCTGTGTTGCCAACTCAAAGGCCAGTAATTTGAAGCCACCTTACACCATAGGAGAAGGATGAGGGGTCTCCGGCCGTGAAGTTGACTGCCTCTGAAAACCTGCTGAGGCACCAGGTACGAGTTGTTCCATCTTAACTGTACATGACAATCTTTCAAGAAAAAAAGATACATATCAATGTTTATAAACAATATTCTTAACTTTTACAAGTAGATTATATTTTGGATATGGTATTAAGTACCAAGAATTCTATTTGGTAAAATGATTAAGAAAAAGTCAGGAGTTAATTGTGTCATTAAAATGACGCATGCACCAAAGAGCAAGGTGAGACCAGCACCTAATCTATTAGCTGTGTAATCAAGAATGATCCTTCTTCTGCTGTTTTGGGTAAAATGCTTGTCTGACTGATCTGAGCTTCCAAAGACTGGGGGGAAGAAGAATTGGTCTGGAACATTAGGCCTTCAAAAGCCTATGCATAGTAGAGCACGGTTAGATCAGACTAGCAGATATGCCCTGGAGGCTGAGCCTTCATACTGGGAAATGCAACGGAGGAGCAAAGTTTCAAACAGACCCTAGTGATTGGGACATGGCCCCTGGAGATGGACTGACACAGTAACTAGTATAAATGGGGTAGTGGCCCTACAGACAGTGAGATCGAGTCAGGAGAGGACAGGGTTCAGAGCTATGGTGCATAGGGTCGCTATGACCCACAAGTGACTTGATGGCACATGACAGCAACTACAACAGGAGTTAATGTCCCAAAGGCATTCTGTTCAAAGCCAGTGCTCCTTGGAAGAAGGATGGACAGTCTCCTCTCACGTGACTTACAGCCTCTGAAAGCCCAGTGGAGGCTCAGCTGTGATTTGGTTCCAACTCAACTGCATGTAATGACAACAATTTAACGAGAATTCTTTTAAACCAATCAAGTGAATTGATTCTTTTCAACTTTTGTCTCTGGTCAGATTTTGTGCTAACCCTGGTCATACTAGTAGAGTTCAAGTGTTGTTTGACCATTTATCTGTCACTACAGAAACCAAGGGGCCTCTCCATCTTTGCTCAGATTCACTTTATTTGTCACGTCCACCACCCCCGGGTAGACCCCAAACTATCAGCATTACCGCTTCCTTCTCCACATCGGTGCTGGCTTCACTTTTCTGCCCTACCCTCCTGCCTCCCAGCATGTATCAAGCAGATAGTTCTGTTTTTGTCATGTAAATAAAACTGGCCCGTGTGTGAAATTGAACCATGGGACTTCAGTGTGTCGCCCATCTAAGGGAAACCTTGTCACCAAATTCCAGCCATGTGGAAAGGCAAAGAAGGACCTCCCTAGCTCTTTATTTTTTATGGGAAGATTGAAAATTATACATCTATGATTTTCTTTTTTAAAACGTTTGATTGTAGTAGAGTATATGTGGAATAAAGTACTTGCACGGGCCAGCATTATTCCACAAGCTCCTGGCTTTTCGCTTCTGAGGAAGATAGAGCCGTTTGGCTACAAGGTCATTTCTGAAAAGGGTGAACATTACAAAAGATAATTACATTTTTTTCCTCTCATTAGCAGAGAAAATTTTCTACCATTTTTGTTCTTACTTCTTTGGCAAAGGGACAATCAGAGATGGAACTCGTTACTGAAAAAAATGTACAAATCCTATTAGGAAAAGATCATATTAGGAAAAATCCTATTAGAGAAGGAAGGACATGGTAGGTACCCAGAATTCTTTGACTGTAGCCCAAGGTTGAATGATAGTATATAATACACTGTCTGTTCATCTTCGTTCTCTTTCATGATGTGGAGTTCCAAGGATCAAAAGATGTGTCTTCAATCTTTTAATATATATTAACCTCTTGAGTATAAAATGTGAGGAGAAAATATTATACATATAAAAAATACAGCTGTATGATCAAGCATCCCTTTTCATCCTGATGTTCTCTCTCATTGCCATTAAGAACCAGCTGCCTCCCCTGGGTTCCTGGGCAGTTCATCAAGTTCGTCAACAGGAGGAGATTGGCCCTCTTTCTCCTGGGGAGCAGCTGGTCGATTTGAACCACCAGAGAGGCAGAGCCTGTCTCATACACGACTCTGTTTTGTAACTTCCCACAATGGTTGCAAAATGGATTCTCACAGGTTGCATTGGTGGCCAGCAAGTTTTGAAATAAGGGTGTACTGTGGACTTCCATGCTTGAGGATGATGTACTCAGAAGGTATCTGGAACCTCTGCATTTTCAGCCAGAAGCACCTGGGTCTGGGGGTCTCCAGATGTTTGGCTTGCATCTGAAGTCTGGGGTGGACTTGGAAGTCTGAGGGATGTGGGAGATTTGACTGAGCGCCAAGGGGTCCAGTCAGAAAAGCTGCATTTGCAATCGCTGTCAGTTCAGACATTTGGTATCTGTGTCGGAGGACACACACCACACCTGCTTGGTTAGTGTCCTTCCCTGAGCCAGTCACGCTCAACAGGGACACAGTGTGCTGATGTGCTGATTGGACAGACAGGAGTCATTTCCTGTGTGCTTCCTAAAAGGCTACAGGAAGCCCTACCTCAGACCAAGTGGACTGAGAATGAAACAGGCATTTCCACAAAGAAATTTCATGTACTGTCTCAGAAGGAGCCACTAGGTGGTGGAAACAGCATCCGAGGCTATTAATCAAAGGTGGAAGGTTCTAGTCCACACATAGGTGCTATGAAGGAAAGGACTGGTGATGCATTGAAAAGGTGTCTGTTGAGAACTTAGTGGAGCACACTTATACTCCGACATGCAGGAATTCACAGGGTCAGAACTGACTTGGTGGCAAATGAGGATTTTTTGGGTTATTCACAGAAAGAAGGACTCTTCAGCAGCATAAAGGGTCTAACGCTGCACTGATAACTAATGTTGGCCCTTTGAACCTACCCAGGTGCTCCTTGAATAAAGCACAGCCACAGCCTTGTAAACCCTGTAGAAGGCAGCTCTTCTCCTTGCTCTAGGCCTCCGCGAGTCACAGGTGCTGTTCTCTGCACTCGGGTCTCTGTGCCGTCATTCTCTGCACTCG